TCAAACTCTGATCTAGAGAATCAAACACTGATCTAGAATCAAACACTGATCTAGAGAATCAAACACTGATCTAGAATCACACACTGATCTAGAGAATCAAACACTGATCTAGAGAATCAAACTCTGATCTAGAGAATCAAACACTGATCTAGAATCAAACACTGATCTAGAGGAATCAAACACTGATCTAGAATCACACACTGATCTAGAGAATCAAACACTGATCTAGAATCAAACACTGATCTAGAGAATCAAACTCTGATCTAGAATCAAACTCTGATCTAGAATCAAACTCTGATCTAGAGAATCAAACTCTGATCTAGAGAATCAAACACTGATCTAGAATCAAACACTGATCTAGAATCACACACTGATCTAGAGAATCAAACACTGATCTAGAATCAAACTCTGATCTAGAATCAAACTCTGATCTAGAGAATCACACACTGATCTAGAGAATCAAACTCTGATCTAGAATCAAACTCTGATCTAGAGAATCAAACACTGATCTAGAATCAAACACTGATCTAGAATCACACACTGATCTAGAGAATCAAACACTGATCTAGAATCAAACTCTGATCTAGAGAATCAAACACTGATCTAGAGAATCAAACACTGATCTAGAATCAAACACTGATCTAGAATCACACACTGATCTAGAATCACACACTGATCTAGAGAATCAAACACTGATCTAGAATCACACACTGATCTAGAATCAAACACTGATCTAGAATCAAACACTGATCTAGAATCACACACTGATCTAGAGAATCAAACACTGATCTAGAAACAAACTCTGATCTAGAATCAAACTCTGATCTAGAGAATCAAACCTGATCTAAACTCTGATCTAGAATCAAACATCTGATCTAGAATCAAACACTGATCTAGAGAATCAAACACTGATCTAGAGAATCAAACTCTGATCTAGAGAATCAAACTCTGATCTAGAGAATCAAACGCTGATCTAGAATCAAACTCTGATCTAGAATCAAACTCTGATCTAGAATCAAACACTGATCTAGAGAATCAAACTCTGATCTAGAGAATCAAACACTGATCTAGAATCAAACTCTGATCTAGAATCAAACTCTGATCTAGAATCAAACTCTGATCTAGAGAATCAAACACTGATCTAGAATCAAACACTGATCTAGAGAATCAAACACTGATCTAGAATCAAACTCTGATCTAGAATCAAACTCTGATCTAGAATCAAACTCTGATCTAGAGAATCAAACACTGATCTAGAATCAAAAACTGATCTAGAGAATCAAACACTGATCTAGAATCAAACTCTGATCTAGAATCAAACACTGATCTAGAATCACACTCTGATCTAGAATCAAACACTGATCTAGAATCAAACACTGATCTAGAGAATCAAACACTGATCTAGAATCAAACTCTGATCTAGAGAATCAAACTCTGATCTAGAGAATCAAACTCTGATCTAGAATCAAACACTGATCTAGAATCAAACACTGATCTAGAGAATCAAACACTGATCTAGAATCAAACTCTGATCTAGAATCAAACACTGATCTAGAGAATCAAACTCTGATCTAGAATCAAACACTGATCTAGAGAATCAAACACTGATCTAGAGAATCAAACTCTGATCTAGAGAATCAAACTCTGATCTAGAATCAAACACTGATCTAGAATCAAACACTGATCTAGAGAATCAAACACTGATCTAGAGAATCAAACTCTGATCTAGAGAATCAAACTCTGATCTAGAATCAAACACTGATCTAGAGAATCAAACTCTGATCTAGAATCAAACTCTGATCTAGAATCAAACTCTGATCTAGAGAATCAAACTCTGATCTAGAATCACACACTGATCTAGAATCAAACACTGATCTAGAGAATCAAACACTGATCTAGAATCAAACTCTGATCTAGAGAATCAAACACTGATCTAGAGAATCAAACTCTGATCTAGAATCAAACTCTGATCTAGAATCAAACACTGATCTAGAATCACACACTGATCTAGAGAATCAAACACTGATCTAGGATGAATCAAACTCTGATCTAGAATCAAACATCTGATCTAGAATCAAACACTGATCTAGAATCAAACACTGATCTAGAGAATCAAACCTGATCTAGAATCAAACTCTGATCTAGAGAATCAAAACCTGATCTAGAGAATCAAACTGATCTAGAATCAACACTGATCTAGAATCAAACACTGATCTAGAATCAAACACTGATCTAGAATCAAACACTGATCTAGAGAATCAAACACTGATCTAGAATCACACACTGATCTAGAGAATCAAACACTGATCTAGAGAATCAAACTCTGATCTAGAATCAAACTCTGATCTAGAATCAAACACTGATCTAGAATCACACACTGATCTAGAGAATCAAACACTGATCTAGAGAATCAAACTCTGATCTAGAATCAAACTCTGATCTAGAATCAAACACTGATCTAGAATCACACACTGATCTAGAGAATCAAACACTGATCTAGAGAATCAAACTCTGATCTAGAATCAAACTCTGATCTAGAGAATCAAACACTGATCTAGAGAATCAAACACTGATCTAGAATCACACACTGATCTAGAATCAAACACTGATCTAGAATCAAACACTGATCTAGAATCAAACACTGATCTAGAGAATCAAACTCTGATCTAGAATCAAACACTGATCTAGAGAATCAAACTCTGATCTAGAGAATCAAACACTGATCTAGAATCACACACTGATCTAGAATCAAACACTGATCTAGAATCAAACACTGATCTAGAGAATCAAACACTGATCTAGAGAATCAAACACTGATCTAGAATCAAACACTGATAGAGAATCAAACTGATCTAGAGAATCAAACTCTGATCTAGAATCAAACTCTGATCTAGAATCAAACACTGATCTAGAATCACACACTGATCTAGAGAATCAAACACTGATCTAGAGAATCAAACTCTGATCTAGAATCAAACACTGATCTAGAGAATCAAACTCTGATCTAGAATCAAACTCTGATCTAGAGAATCAAACACTGATCTAGAATCAAACACTGATCTAGAATCAAACTCTGATCTAGAATCAAACTCTGATCTAGAATCAAACTCTGATCTAGAGAATCAAACTCTGATCTAGAATCAAACTCTGATCTAGAATCAAACTCTGATCTAGAATCAAACTCTGATCTAGAATCAAACACTGATCTAGAGAATCAAACTCTGATCTAGAATCAAACTCTGATCTAGAATCAAACTCTGATCTAGATCAAACACTGATCTAGAGAATCAAACTCTGATCTAGAATCAAACTCTGATCTAGAGAATCAAACACTGATCTAGAATCAAACTCTGATCTAGAGAATCAAACACTGATCTAGAATCAAACTCTGATCTAGAGAATCAAACACTGATCTAGAATCAAACTCTGATCTAGAGAATCAAACACTGATCTAGAGAATCAAACTGATCTAGAATCAAACTCTGATCTAGAATCAAACACTGATCTAGAGAATCAAACTCTGATCTAGAGAATCAAACTGATCTAGAGAATCAAACTGATCTAGAGAATCAAACACTGATCTTCCAGAGAATCAAACTCTGATCTAGAATCAAACTCTGATCTAGAGAATCAAACACTGATCTAGAATCAAACTCTGATCTAGAGAATCAAACACTGATCTAGAATCAAACTCTGATCTAGAGAATCAAACTGATCTAGAATCAAACACTGATCTAGAATCAAACTCTGATCTAGAATCAACACTGATCTAGAATCAAACTCTGATCTAGAATCAAACACTGATCTAGAATCAAACTCTGATCTAGAGAATCAAACTCTGATCTAGAGAATCAAACTCTGATCTAGAATCAAACTCTGATCTAGGAATCAACACTGATCTAGAATCAAACTCTGATCTAGAATCAAACACTGAATCTAGAGAATCAAACTCTGATCTAGAGAATCAAACTCTGATCTAGAATCAAACTCTGATCTAGAGAATCAAACACTGATCTAGAGAATCAAACTCTGATCTAGAATCAACTCTGATCTAGAGAATCAAACACTGATCTAGAATCAAACTCTGATCTAGAATCAAACACTGATCTAGAGAATCAAACACTGATCTAGAGAATCAAACTCTGATCTAGAATCAAACACTGATCTAGAGAATCAAACTCTGATCTAGAATCAAACTCTGATCTAGAATCAAACTCTGATCTAGAATCAAACACTGATCTAGAGAATCAAACTCTGATCTAGAATCAAACTCTGATCTAGAGAATCAAACTCTGATCTAGAATCAACTCTGATCTAGAATCAAACTCTGATCTAGAATCAAACACGATCTAGAATCAAACTCTGATCTAGAATCACACACACTGATCTAGAGAATCAAACACTTGATCTAGAGAATCAAACTCTGAGTCTAGAGAATCAAACTCTGATCTAGAGAATCAAACATCTGCAATCTAGAGAATCAAACTGATCTAGAGAATCAAACACTGCTAAGTAAAGACCTTTCTTTGAAACTAAAACCTCTGTCCCTGAGTCGTGATATTTAGTCTTCTACCTGTGTCCAATCAGTCGTTACAACAAACCTGAAAGTTAGCATGATATGTTCTCTATAGAAGTATGTGTACACTTCTTTGTTTTCATTCTCCAATATGTTTTGGTTCTCTTCTAATTATGATATGCTCCTGAATTCACATATTATAGTTGGTTGTCTGAACTCTTTACTCGTCACTGAGGGATAGATGTGAACGTTTAAGCTTCACTCTCGATGCGCGTTTGTTACACATTCACTGGGTTTTATCTTCAGTATTATGATCCTCCAGATAATCTCTCACACACACACACACACACAAACACACACACACACAAACCACCACACAACCACACACACACACACACACACAACACACACACACACAGGAAGCTGTTTTTCTGACCACCAGGCGCTCTTAGTTTTAATATAAATAGTTTATTAGAGTTCCTCCTTTAAGCAGATACAAACAGACAGAGATAGAAAACAACAGGTTATAAAAAACGATGAATTGCACGAGTGTGTGCTGAGAAAGAGATTACATAATCCAGTCCGTCCGCAGGAAGGATGCGTGTATAATCCCAGTCTGTGAGCGGGAGGAGGAGACAATAAATCCTTAGATCTCCCAGAATGCACCTCTCTGCTGCCGGCATTTAATCGCTGCTTTTCTCCGTCGAGGGAATCGCAGCAGGAAACCAGTTTGTTCTGTCGCAACTCTTCAAAGTCAAGGTCCAGAGAGTCAGGTATCCTGCTTCAAGCGTCACTAAATATTCTCCATCAAACTGAGCCGGCAGACTATTGGATTTCCTCCCCTTCCTCTTCCTCCTCCTCCTCTTCTTCACCTGATACCTGTTGGGAAAAGAGTCAATTTAAGACTTACTTCTCCGGCAAAATACTTCCTTTTTTCAACCAAAAACATACGATAATGTGGTGTCGAACTATATCAAAGATTAACGGTTGAAAATTGGTTTTGAAAACGTAATTAAATGTTGTATTCTCATGGGAATCAATGACGCAACTGAAGAACAAGCAAACAGCGGGACTTATTTACTAACCTTAAGTACCTGGCTCTGGATCAGTGTGTGTGTGTATGTGTGTGTGGATAACCTCTGACGTTAAAGTGGTACATTAACGAGTAGAAACTCACACATTCCTGTGGGAAATATAATGTACACTTCAGTGTTTCATTCAGATTTACAGAGATTTATATCAGAAGTAAAGATTATTGGACTTTTAAAACAAACTTGTAAACACACTACAACCTACTGGAGGTCCAACTTTCACCTGCCACACGTGTGTGAGTGTGTGTGTGTGTGTGTGTGTGTGTGTGGTGTGTGTGTGTGTGTGTGTGTGTGTGTGTGTGGGTGTGTGTGTGTTTGTGTGTGTGTGTGTGTTGCCTTCAGGGTGTACTAATTCAATGAGAGGAAAAACATCATAAATACCTGCGGTCTGTTATCAGCTATTACACATTCAGACAGGAGCAGCCTCACACACACTCACACACACTCACACACACACACACACACACACACACACACTCACACACACTCTCACTCTCACACACACACACACACACACACACACACCACACACACACACACACACACACACACACACTCACACACACACTCTCTCTCTCTCTCTCTCTCACCGTTGTCAGTGTGTGTGTGTGTGGAGCGTCTGTTGGTACAGGTGCACTCCAGGTGGTCCTCCAGCTTCACCTGCACCTCCCTCAGCTTCGGACGCCGCCGCACAAACTCCACTTTCGCCACCTGACGAGACATTTTAGATAAATATTCAACACAACATGAAGACATCGGTCAGGACACATCAAGTCTAACCATTCAGAGGGTTAAAAAGCTTCTGCAAATACAGAAAGAATACATCTCAGAGGCTGCGGTGCGACAAAGGAAGACTACATGGTGTTAGGATCACACACACACACACACACACACACACACACATACACACACACACACACACACACACACACACACACACACACACACAGGTGGTTTAACTGAGGTGGATCACTGGTCAGGATTCAACATGTTTGACTGTATGAATGATGTGTCTCTCCTCAGTGTTGGAGGAAACACACGATGTGTCTGATTCACATTCAGGAGCAACATGTGCACAGTTTAATGAATACAACGTCAGCAGAATAATGCAGCAATGATAATGAGTATCCCTTCTTCCCGTCTCTCCTGAACTCACAGCCTGATATGAGTTTGGTGAAGAACCCCCCCCCCTCTCTGTGAGTGTCTCCCCTCTGATCTGAACCTCTGGATGTGAAGGACTTTATTTCTGATTTCCTGTGAGAGCAGACAGAGGACGAGGCCTTTCATCTCAGATCATATCAAAGCTCAGGGAAACAAACTCGCCCTCTTCCTCCTCTGGCTACCCACTAACACACACACCAACATACATATATACACACACACACACACGCACGCATTTACACACGCACACACGGCAGGTGAAAGTTGGACCTCCAGTAGGTTGTAGTGTGTTTACAAGTTTGTTTAAAAGTCCAATAATCTTTACTTCTGATATAAATCTCTGTAAATCTGAATGAAACACTGAAGTGTACATTATATTTCCCACAGGAATGTGTGCAGTGGCGGCGCCAGGGTATGGCTGGGGTAGGCTACAGCCATACCAAGAAATGGCTTAGCCCCACCTTAGCCCCACCATGAAAAGTGATGCAAATTAAATTAAATAATAAGCAAAATGCTAAATGTTGAGAACACGGATTGCGAAAATATACGGGTCGTGTCCACAGCACACAAACTGATCCTGCTGTAACAACAAGTGCACGTTACTGATGCAATATGGTTGAGACCATTCGGGCTTATGCTATAAGAGGGGTGCAAGGAATAGTCTAAGTAGTGGGGGAGTTTTATACACTAAAGGTGTGGAAATTCTCTGGCGTTATAATATCAGCGCGGCCGCGGTCAGATCAAAATGCCTCCGAATGCAATTTGAATAGACCTTCAGCCAATCAGAGCAACGAAACGTTGGGTCTGCGTCATGCCTTACTGATTGAGATCAGTCGAAACCGCCATTCAGTATCCCCATTGGATCTTCAACGTGTACTATCATACGTCCGTTCACAGTGATCCCTTTTATTTACTACAAGACAAATGTGCCGTTTTATTTCATACAGTTCCATTTTGATTGAGAAAGGGAAATAATCTAAACCTCACGCGTGGCGTTTCACTGTCAAGGGGGGCGATATAGCGTGTATGTAATTACGTTGCAAATACTGACTTGAGCCCCACCACTGTATGGGTTAGCCCTACCATAGATTACCCAACAAAAATACTCTGGCGCCGCCACTGAATGTGTGAGTTTCTACTCGTTAATGTACCACTTTAACGTCAGAGGTTATCCAAGGTTATCCTCAGAATGTGTGTTTTTTGCCTTTAACTTACATTGTTTAGATGAGAGCTAATCTGAATCACAGACTGTCCCTCTGCTTTGGCTGTGAGTAGTTCCTGTTAGGACACAATGTCCCACAACAACCACCTGGAGTTATTCAGATACAGAAGAGACACATAAAGAGACAACTCCTTCAGAGATCCTGACAACACAGATTGTTTACAGCCTGTTAATATATATATATATATATAAGAGTCCTCTCCTGCTGATGTTCAGGTGTATATCAGTATGTAGTGTCTCTACTTAAAGAGTCCTCTCCTGCTGATGTTCAGGTGTATATCAGTATGTAGTGTCTCTACTTTAAAGAGTCCTCTCCTGCTGATGTTCAGGTGTATATCAGTATGTAGTGTCTCTACTTTAAAGAGTCCTCTCCTGCTGATGTTCAGGTGTATATCAGTATGCAGTGTCTCTACTTTAAAGAGTCCTCTCCTGCTGATGTTCAGGTGTATATCAGTATGTAGTGTCTCTACTTTAAAGAGTCCTCTCCTGCTGATGTTCAGGTGTATATCAGTATGTAGTGTCTCTACTTTAAAGATTCCTCTCCTGCTGATGTTCAGGTGTTTATCCGTATGTAGTGTCCCTCTACTTTAAAGAGTCCTCTGCTGCTGATGTTCAGGTGTATATCACGTATGTAGTGTCTCTACTTTAAAGAGTCCTCTCCTGCTGATGTTCAGGTGTTATCCGTATGTAGTGTCTCTACTTTAAAGAGTCCTCTCCTGCTGATGTTCAGGTGTTTATCCGTATGTAGTGTCTCTACTTTAAGAGTCCTCTGCTGCTGATGTTCAGGTTGTATATCAGTATGTAGTGTCTCTACTTTAAAGAGTCCTCTCCTGCTGATGTTCAGGTGTTTATCCGTATGTAGTGTCTCTACTTTAAAGAGTCCTCTCCTGCTGATGTTCAGGTGTTTATATCCGTATGTAGTGTCTCTACTTTAAAGAGTCCTCTGCTGCTGATGTTCAGGTGTATATCAGTATGTAGTGTCTCTACTTTAAAGAGTCCTCTCCTGCTGATGTTCAGGTGTATATCAGTATGTAGTGTCTCTACTTTAAAGAGTCCTCTCCTGCTGATGTTCAGGTGTATATCAGTATGTAGTGTCTCTACTTTAAAGAGTCCTCTCCTGCTGATGTTCAGGTGTATATCAGTATGTAGTGTCTCTACTTTAAAGAGTCCTCTCCTGCTGATGTTCAGGTGTATATCAGTATGTAGTGTCTCTACTTTAAAGAGTCCTCTCCTGCTGATGTTCAGGTGTTTATCCGTATGTAGTGTCTCTACTTAAAGAGGTCCTCTGCTGCTGATGTTCAGGTGTATATCAGTATGTAGTGTCTCTACTTTAAAGAGTCCTCTCCTGCTGATGTTCAGGTGTATATCAGTATGTAGTGTCTCTACTTTAAAGAGTCCTCTCCTGCTGATGTTCAGGTTGTATATCAGTATGTCATGTCTATACTGGGACATGTTTCCATGCTGTAATGTGTGTGTGTGTGTGTGTGTGGGTGTGTGTGTGTGTGTGTGGTGTGTGTTGTTGTGTGTGTTGTGTTGTGTGTGTGTGTGTGTGTGTGTGTACCTTCACAGTGCGGGTGTGTGTACGTGCCGCTCTGCACCTCATGTTCCCTGTGTTGCAGCAGCCGGTGCAGCGCTGCAGCTCCACGCAGGACGGCCACAGCAGGAAGTTAGCGGCGGAGGAGTCCACGGCGCTGCGGGGGATCTGATAAACCACCGAGCGGATCTTACATCCAGCGGGAAGAGCCTCCTCCAACACTGACAGGAAGAAAAGGAAACACACGAAGGGTTGACACAAGCTGAAGAGATGTAAATGTTTTGTTCTAACCACATAAAATAGATCAGTAAATACCCCACTGGTGGATTTAAAAACTGAGGTTGCTAACAAGTGTCTAAATGAGACGACTAAACGCCATCAAAATCAGTGTGTGTGTGTGTGTGTGTGTGCGTGCTGTGCGTGCGTGCATGCGTGTGTGTGTTGTCTGTGTCTGTGTGTGTGTGTGTGTTGTGTGTGTGTGTGTGTGTGTGTGTGTGTGTGTGTGTGTGTGTGTGTGTGTGTGTGTGTGTATGACTCACCGGTGCTTCTCCTGTGTCTGGTGTGCGTGTGAGTGTGTGCTCTCTTCAGGTCCAAGGGGCTGTGAGAGACGTCCTTGTGGTATCTGTGTTTGGTCTCCTCCATCACCTCGTTCTCTGCAGCGAGACACAACAACACACACACGTTCAGGAATATTCCCAGGTCCCTGACACACACACACACACACACACACACACACACACACACACACACACACACACACACACAACACACACACACACACAGACACACACACACCCACACACACACACACACACACACACACACACACACCACACGTAAACCACACACACACACACACACACACACACACACACGTAAACCCCACACACACACACACACACACACACACACACGTAAACACACACACCTACACACACACACCCACACCACGTAACACACACACACACACACACACCCACACACACACACACACACACACCATTCACAAATATTCCCAGGTCTCTGGAGTCTCTCAGGATCACAGCAGGAGGATAACCAGGTTACTCTAACTGAGTTACGATGTTTCTATCAGATGCTGAGGGTTCTGCATGTTACCACACACACACACACACACACACACACACACACACACACACACACACACACACACACACACACACACACCACACACACACACACACACACACACTCTGCAGCAGGATGTCACTGAGAGGACAGACACTGCTGCAGACGGTTATAAGTGTCATCAGGTAAAACATCAAACTGACCTCCTGTCTGTTTACATGAGTTGTACGTGTAGCAGCAAAATAAAAAACATCTACTCAAGAATCAAACTGCCGCTGAGGAACAAGATAGAGAAAACATATCGAATGTCCAGGTAAAAAAATCCTTTGTGTCGTTTATTTCTATGAGTTTCAACAACAGAAACCATTTTGTTTACCGCTCTATCTCTGTGGCTTCACCTGGTAAAACAACATTTGTCCATTCTGGTGCACAAACCCCACCTGTCTCCAATAAGAACATTATAACCTGGTGCCCAAAGCTGCCTTCAAAATAAAATCATATGTTTAATATTTTGAAGTATTTCCACGCACATCTACGGACAGGTGCGAACGCACTACAACGGCACAATACAACTCCATCAGGAGAAACGTGCTGCAGCTTCAGAGAGGATGCAGATATAGAAACCAAAACGCTGAAGAAGCTCAAAACACACAACGGAGACCAGGGGACACTAAAAGAGTGACGCACACAGCTGGAGACCAGGGGACACTAAAGAGTGACGCACACAGCTGGAGACCAGGGGACACTAAAGAGTGACGCACACAGCTGGGAGACCAGGGGACACTAAAGAGTGACGCACACAGCTGGAGACCAGGGGACACTAAAGAGTGACGCACACAGCTGGGAGACCAGGGGACACTAAAGAGTGACGCACCAGCTGGGAGACCAGGGGACACTAAAGAGTGATGCACACAGCTGGGAGAACAGGGGACACTAAAGAGTGACGCACACAGCTGAGGACCAGGGGACACTAAAGAGTAACACGTGCAGCTGGGAGACCAGGGGACACTAAAGAGTGACGCACACAGCTGGAGACCAGGGGACACTAAAGAGTGACGCACACAGCTGGGAGACCAGGGGACACTAAAGAGTGACGCGTGCAGCTGGGAGACCAGGGGACACTAAAGAGTGACGCGTGCAGCTGGGAGACCAGGGGACACTAAAGAGTGACGCACACAGCTGGAGACCAGGGGACACTAAAGAGTGACGCACACAGCTGGAGACCAGGGGACACTAAAGAGTGACGCGTGCAGCTGGGAGACCAGGGGACCACCTAAAGAGTGACACACACAGCTGGAGACCAGGGGACACTAAAGAGTGACGCGTGCAGCTGGAATACCAGGGGACACTAAAGAGTGACGCACACAGCTGGAGACCAGGGGACACTAAAGAGTGACGCACACAGCTGGAGACCAGGGGACACTAAAGAGTGACGCGTGCAGCTGGGAGACCAGGGGACACTAAAGAGTGACGCGTGCAGCTGGGAGACCAGGGGACACTAAAGAGTGACGCACACAGCTGGAGACCAGGGGACACATAAAGAGTGACACACACAGCTGGAGACCAGGGGACACTAAAGAGTGACGCGTGCAGCTGGGAGACCAGGGGACACTAAAGAGTGACACACACCAGCTGGAGACCAGGGGACACTAAAGAGTGACGCGTGCAGCTGGAGACCAGGGGACACTAAAGAGTGACGCACACAGCTGGAGACCAGGGGACACTAAAGAGTGACGCACACAGCTGGAGACCAGGGGACACTAAAGAGTGACACACACAGCTGGAGACCAGGGGACACTAAAGAGTGACGCGTGCAGCTGGAGACCAGGGGACACTAAAGAGTGACGCACACAGCTGGAGACCAGGGGACACTAAAGAGTGACGCACACAGCTGGGAGACCAGGGGACACTAAAGAGTGACACCATAGTCTCCTGGTGAAATGGTTATGTAAATGTGTGTGTCGTCTGCATAGCTATAGTCAGTGGTAGCATGTCGATGTTAAAGAGAAGAGGCCCCAGGATGGAGCCTTGAGGAACCCCACATGTCATATGTGTGTCAGCTCAGATGTGTAGTTACCTATAGAAACAACGTTTCCCCTGTCCTTTAAGTAGGATTCAAACCAGTTTACAAATGTTGCTGAAAGTAGTAAACACAATATGTTGTGGTCAACAAAGTGTCAAACGCAGCACTGAGATCTAATAATACTAACACGGAGATTCTGCCACTGTGTGCGTTCAAGTGGATGTCATTGAAGACCTTATCCTGTTAAACCCCGAGCCTGTTTTTCAGGCCTCAGGCTCGAAAATGACATTCCCAAAACAAATGACTATAACTTTGTTTGTTTGTAGCCTTTATTTAACCAGGTGAAAATCCCATTGAGATCAACGATCTCTTTTTCAAGGGAGACCTGCAGCACATTGGTTACACATAAAAACAACAGAAAACAAAAAGGACATCATACAACATAATTACAGGGGTATAAATTAGAAACCTATTCACAATGACAGATATCTAATAACATTTCATCCAGCCGTAACTACACTTCTAAAAAGGGGTACATTAATAATATTTTTTCTCAAAGCAAGGTTACATCTGTGAGTTGGATGTAGAGGAGTCAGAATCAATATAGATGTTTTTATTTTAAAGTAAATTCAGATTGAACATAGTAAAAAAATGTAAATTATAGTGTCTGTCCAAAAAACAAAAATTACTTCTAGTGAAAACCACCCTTGAATGATGGGATGGTAGACTAAAAGCTTTAGGAATCCACACTATAAACATATAATAAGTAAGATTGATGCAAAACAAGTGACATTTGACCTTTTTAGAGAGATTTAGAAGAAAATAACCCACTTCTGGGTCATTTGGGGGTGGATTTTCCCATATCTCTGGAACCCATCGGTCGATTTGATGATTGACATCTCTTTTTACCGTTAGAGCCAATAGAATCGAGGGGAAGTTTCCTAAAATCAATCTAAACATTACCCATTGGTGAATGAGTGATGCACAGCCAGAATGCCCAAAACCGGAAGGCTGTCATACACTCTCGTAGCTATCATAATAGCTATTATGAAAACTCAGTTTTGCCAAAAATTGACGATGGATTATCAGAAATCATTTTCAAAGTGACACAGACACATTGGATTAACCTATGGATTAACCTTCAGCAGCGTTGTTGATCGTTTATAATGCCATTGAACACAACTTTTGATTAGAACAAAAGCAAAAGGTAAGACAATGTCCCGTTTTTGCTCCAAAAGCTACGTTGTGTGATGTCTGTGTTGCTTCCCCTGCCGCGAGTTTTGTTGTTTGTGCAGAACCGATAAGTAATAAAGTATTTCTACCGTGAGTTCTGTGCTAAGTGCGTTAGCATTTTTAGCTCAGGGCTCATTTAGACGCTTCTTGTGAGACTTGTGTTTTGTTTCGGTAAAAATGGTTCGTATCGTCAGTTAGCTGAGTTTCTTCCCGTTAAGTGGGTATGACACATTCATAGGTTTTTAAATGTTAAGAAGCCCTGAGACACAGTTTCGTGAAAAGAAACCGGGGGCTGCGGTATAAAAACACAAATGTGCCAAAAAACATTAAAATATCAAGGAATATCTTCACCAACTGGACAACACATAAACGAAACACTGCGACACTAAAACGTGATGCCATTTGTATTTGCAGCGTTTCGTTTATGCGGCTTTTAATAAAACGCTGCGCATGTTGGTGAGTTTTGTCTAAACGCTCGATGTGTTGGTGAAGATGTCTCTTTATTTGCTTACTAAGCAAGATAGAGGTAAGGGCCATCAGACAACAAAACTTTCGCAAGCAACCTGGACAAGTGTTATGATGGAAACTGAGCTACAGAAAACACTCCTGATGTTCAGACAGAGCAGAAAACACTTCTGATGTTCAGACTGAGCAGAAAACACTCCTGATGTTCAGACTGAGCAGAAAACACTTCTGATGTTCAAACAGAGCAGAAAACACTTCTGATGTTCAAACAGAGCAGAAAACACTTCTGATGTTCAGACAGAGCAGAAAACACTTCTGATGTTCAAACAGAGCAGAAAACACTTCTGATGTTCAGACAGAGCAGAAAAACCACTTCTGATGTTCAGACAGAGCAGAAAACACTTCTGATGTTCAGACAGAGCAGAAAACACTTCTGATGTTCAGACAGAGCAGAAAACACTTCTGATGTTCAGACAGAGCAGAAAACACTTCTGATGTTCAGACAGAGCAGAAAACACTTCTGATGTTCAGACAGAGCAGAAAACACTTCTGATGTTCAGACAGAGCAGAAAAACACTTCTGATGTTCAGACAGAGCAAAAACACTCCTGATGTTCAGACAGAGCAGAAAACACTTCTGATGTTCAACAGAGCAGAAAACACTTCTGATGTTCAGATCAGGGCCGAAACAAACACTTCTGATGTTCAGACAGAGGCAGAAAACACTTCTGATGTTCAGACAGAGCAGAAAACACTTCTGATGTTCAAACAGAGCAGAAAACACTTCTGATGTTCAGACAGAGCAGAAAACACTTCTGATGTTCAGACAGAGCAGAAAACACTTCTG